TGGAATTGCTGGGTCAAATGGTATCTCTATTTACAACTTTTTGAGAAAGCGCCACACTGCCTTCCACACTGTTTGCACCATTTTACACTTCCACCAACAGTGAAAAAGGTTTCCAGTTTCTCCACAACCTCACCAGCATTTGTTGCTTGCTGTTCTGTTAAATTTTGCTATTCTGACTGGAGTGAGATGAGATCTCATAGTGGTTTTGATTTGCATCTCTCTTAGAGCTAGGGATTTTGAACATTTCTTCATATGCTTGTTAGCCATCTGAATGTCTTCTTTAGTGAAGTGTCTGTTTATATCCTATGCCCATTTTTCAATTGGATTGTTTACCTTTATCTTGTTATGGTGCTCAAGTATTTTATAAATTCTAGATATAAGTCCCTTGTCTAACATGTCATTACCAAAACCTTTTTCCCAGTCTGTGGCTTCCCTTTTTACCCTGTTGGAGAAGTTTTTGGATGTGCATTCAATCAGTCCTTTTTACTACAGTGACTCTGTGTATTCCTTCCGTCTTCTTTCGAAGCTTCCTGAGTCATTCAATATATTGCAAAAAGCCTCTTTCAATATTGCAACTCAAGGCATCAAACTGTTTTTCAGTTCTCTCACCCTGAGAAATGCAGAGTGAGTTCTCCCGTTTTTATTCTACAATTCCAGCTCTCTGCACACTCCATCATAATACTTTGCTTTGTCTTCTCGAGCTGCCCCTTGAAATCTTCTGTTCAGCTTTTTCACTATGGCATGTTTTCCCTATATTTTGGCTTCTCAACACTCTATTGCAGTGTTCAGAGTCTCTTCTAACATCCATTTTCATTTTTTTTTCTTTCTCCTCTGTTCGTTTATGTATTTTTTTTTTAATTTGGTGTTCTGTCAAATTGGATTCAACTGGCACAGGAGGAGTTTGCCCCTTCTTGTCCAGCGGAGCATCTGGTGGACTTGAACTGCACACCTTTGGGATTGAAGTGCAGCTTCTTGCCACTATGCCACCAGAGCTCCCTTCTCCTCTGTCTGTGTAATGACCTTTTTGCTCTTTTCATGGATGACGTCCTTGATGTCACCCCAGAACTTATCTGGTTTTCGATCATTGGTGTTCAAAACTATTCTTCAAATCTATTCTTAAGATGGCTTTCAAATTCAGATGGAAAAGATTCAAGATCATATTTTGGTTTTCATGGACTTGTTTTAATTCCCCACAGTCCACCAAGGCCTAGTTTTGACAGCTGATGCTAAGCTTCTTCAATTATTCCTTCCACAAATGTAGTCAGTATGATTCCTATGCAGCCCATCAGGTGAGGTCCATGTGTAAAGTTGCCATTTACCTTTTTTAAAAAAAGGTATTTGAAATTAAGAAATCATCAAAAACAAAATTTGATCATTCTATTTCCAGCCTTCTTTCAGTTACCAAGCCCATTTTTCCAACTACTATGCCTTCTTCTTTACTGCAACTTTTGCATTCCAGGTACCAAGTACCATTAATGCATCTTGATTGCCTGTTTGGTCAATTTCAGACTGCAAGATTTAGTAAAAATTTACGATGTCTTTCTCTTTGGCTCTATCTAGAAGTAGGGCCATATATTTGAATAACTGTTGTATAAACAAGTCTTCCTTGTATGCATATGGATAATATTCGATCACTCACAACTCTGTACTTCAGGTAGACCTTGAAATTGACTTTTTGTCTATGAATTCAACACCATTCTGTTTTTCATTCCCAGAACAGTGTACCATGTGATTATCTGATTCAAAGTGGCCAAAGCTGGGGAGGGTTTGTAAAACAATGAAAGAATCTTTTCTTTTACTTTTCCATAATTTTTGGACTCATGTACTTATAACTTGTTAGTCAAATTTGTGTCTTCTAGGTTGCAACACCCCCATGATACATCTTGAAGGATATGTACATGTACAGCCAAGCACAATCAATAAGAGTGCATCTGAATTCCAAAATCAATCTCCATAATAGTCTATGTGTTTCCTACTGCCAAAGGGGCCCTTTAGAGTAGTGAGAGAAGATCTTCACCCTGAAACCCACAGCGTCCCTTTTCAGCAGGAAGTAGCTAAGAGAATACGCCGTCCCCTTTTCCTTATGACTCAGGGTGAAGTCTCTCTCAGGGAGGAGTGATAGGGAATGGCAAAGGATACACTGACAAAGAAGATTAATCAGAACTGGCTTTGACAAGCACTGTGGCATTTGGACAAGAACAAACTGGGAGGAGGGTAGAGAGAATAGTGCAACAATGAATGAGTGGAAGCCCAAAATCTCTGTAAATGTTTATGAAAATTAATAAAATATAATTATAGAAAAAAAAAAACCAAAAAAAACAAAGTGGCCAAAGCTAGTCCATCCCAGCTCATTAATACCTAGTATGTCAATGTTCATGCATTCCATTTTATTTTTCACAATTTCTAGTTTTCCAACATTCAAGCTATGTTCACTTTATTTTCTAATTATTAAAAAATGTTTGTCATTATTTTTCCTCATTTTGACTAAATTCCTTTCTGGGCTCTACCACTAATTGTCTGGGTACTTGTGGATGCCCAAGTTATGAGGTGAGCAGAGGCAGAGGAGGGTATAAAGGGGAAATGATGCAGATAGAGCAGTGGAAAGAAACAAAAGAAGTAAACTATGATTTCAAGACTGTGACCTACAGTTGGGCTCCAATGACTCTGTTGAGAAAACCCACCAAGTATTTCTACAGACCAGACAATGAATACATCTTGTAAAACTGTCATCTACTTGTACCTGGGCTGACTCTAGAGACTTTCTTCTTTACTACTCTGTACATAATCTCATTGAATTTTTTTCTAATTGTCTAAAATGTTCTAGAAAGGTTAACACAATCAAATTCCTAATAACTTTTCTTAGACGTAAAGACATTGAATTTGAAATTGAAACACAACACCGAGTTGATTAATGTTATTATCTATCAAATTTGTCATCTGTAGCAAGCCTACCTTCTCAGGAATTTTGGTTCAGAAAAGGCCCTAAAGGAGGTGTTCAGAGTGGACAGTTGATAAGCAATCTGAAAACATCAGTGCAAAGTCTCTGTCCTAGATGCCAACAGAGGCAGTAAAGAAGCAAGTGCCTGAGTGTGGGAGTCCCCCTCTTGGAGACCCATGCTGACTGCACCCAGTCCAGAAGCCAGCCATAATCTTCTACTTTATCCACAACCTGCATCTTATGTGGAACCCTCACTCGAGGGCAGACTGAGCCACATGCAAATGAGACTGTATGGGAGAGTCCTCCACACGACACCTCACCTGTTTGCTGGAGTCCAGGGCCATTTCTAGGAGATTGTTGACGGCCATTCTGAGGCTCTGGTAGACCTTCCTGACTGGCTGCTCATACTCCAGTGTGGCTTCTGGGCACATAAAGAAGCTCTCGCGCACATGACTGCTGATCTCAGTCACTGTCGATGCCTCTGCAGACTCAAGCAGTGTCCCGTCAGGATCAAGTGGAGCTGTGCTAAGTCCAGAAAGCGTCTCATCCAGTGCAGGAGCTGCAGAACGGACAGACCCAGAGTGCTACATGTATTGCTCAATGAGCAAAGCAAGCAACCCAGAATAACAGTTTCAAGATGATACACAAATTCACGGCAAATTTTAAAATGATGGCTCATCATAGGAAGACAGTAAAAGGTTCTGAAAAATATCACTATTCCCGGATCGTGGCTTTCTTTAAGGAATGGTCTTCTCCAGCACTGTCAGCAGGGTGAGATGAGATGAGACGAGGATACAGCAGCTCTTATCACAGACACACTGCTGAGTCACAGACTAGTCCCTGAAGGAATACTGACAACAGACAAAGCACCCTAGCCCACATCCTCAAGGAGTAGTCCCAGAAGCCCCTCCTCAGCTGGGTCACATCATCCAAAAAGGGCCTAAAGGCTGTAGACATAGGGTTTCATAAACTCCACAAGCCCCTGACAGCAAACGCTCTCTATGGCCCTGTTCAAAAGGTTCATATATTTAAAAAAGAATTACTGTTTCATAAACACCATTTTCCCTTTGAGCAAAAACAAATGAGTAACTGTTGGGTAATCTATGTTCCATAGTGCACTCTAAACAGAGCCACTTAGGCAACTCAGAAGGTGACAGAAAGCACATGTACACTCACCTGCACATAGGACCTCAATGTTTGGCCACAGGTCTGGTGGGCTCTCTGCACTGGTGGCACCTATATCATCCAGACAGAGCCCCACACGCTCACTGATCTGATTCCTCATGGCAATTGCAGCCCTCAGCGTTTCTCCAAACAAGCTCAAAAGCCTTCTCAGGGAATCCTGGAGTGCATTTCTGAGGGAGAAGACAACAAGGCTCATAAGACAACATTTAAAGTCCTCGGCACTAGATAAGAAAAGGCAGGATAGGAAAATGTGGTGGGAATAGCTGAGAGATGCTGTAGGGGGCTCTGGTTATGTGGGAGGCAAGGATGAAACACAGGGAAACAATCTTCAGCACAAGGTGCTATATAGACCTACTTACTCCCTAGAGAAAGGAAATAAAATGATGGAGGAAAACCACAGCCACTTAAAGTATCTGGAACTAATCCAAAAGGCAGAAACAGGTGACAAAACATCTATTCAAGAACATCTAAAAATCTTAGTAAGAAGAATAAGCATTCAGGATACTGGAGCCAACACCATCCCTTCCTTTCCTTTCCCAGCTCAGCAGGAGACTCCTTAGCAAGTAACTGCAGCCAAATCTGCGCTCCTTGTCCTCCAGCTCCTCACAAGAGGAAAAGCAGGATTCTGCTTCCGATTGTCTACTGCTCAGGCTAAGTCCTAGCTAAATGCATCAAGGGGCGGGGGCTCCCTTCTGCTAAGCAGCTCCATTCAAGAAGTAAGAATTCTATTTCAGGAAAACCATGCTGAGAATACCAGGGCCTTTATCACTCTTATCTAGCTTGTGAGACAGAGTACTCTAGGGTGCCACCTCCCACCACTGAATGGCTTTTAGAATTGGGGGGTGGGGGAGTAATGCTTACCACCATCCACACCCCTGATTCTGAGACTTCCCCCTGGTATGCAATATGGGAAGCAGGCTGAAATACAGTGCCTAAACTCTTCATATAGTAAGCAACTTCATCTGCAACAGAGCCTGGAGAGGGGCAAGACTAGAGACATGCTGAACAGCATTGAGGCTGTGATGAAAAGCAAAAGGGAAGGAGATTAACAACTTAGAGAAGACAAAGTTAAGACTGTAGGCCAGCAGTATGAAGGAGAGAACCAGGGAATAAGACAGGTGGGGAGAATTCCCGATTAGGTCAAATTTCAAACACTCATCTTAGAAACTATTCTTTCAAGAGTTACAATTTGACTGGATTACTATGATGTAAGTTACTACTAAGAATAGCAACACGATTACCCCAGAAATTAGTGAAGACTCAGCTGGGTGTGATCAGGAAGGGAGCCTGTGCAATAATAGCACTGCCACTGAAGGATGAATGAATGCGTAATCAAAGCTGTACTGCCCCAGGGCATTACATCAGAGGCTTACAACTGTGGTACAGGAGGCAAAGGGCTGAGTTCACTAAATAATTAGGAAAGTCACTAAAAGTAAACAGAAAAGAGCAGTAAGTTCTAGAAGGGAGAAACGAAGATGTAGAATTACAAATGTTACTTAAAACGTCCTTTTTGTAAGTAAAAATTATGAAACATGCAAAGAAACAGGAAAACATCACTCGTATACTGGGGGAAAAAGCAGAAAACAAGACTGCCTTGAGAGGGGTCAAATCGCAGATATAACAAAAACAAAAAGGCATTAGTTTACCTTTATAAATACAGTCACAAAACTAACAGAAACCATAATTAAAGAAAGGAATATATGATGGCAGTGTCACATTAAATGAAGAATATTGATACAGATACAAAATTGTGAAAAAAAAGACTTAAAATCTGGAGTTTGAAGGAAAATAGAGTAGATTTAACAGCAGATTTTGGGCTGGTAAAAAAAGAACTTACAAACTTAAAGGCAAATCAATAGAAATTATACAACCCCCAACCCCCCCCCCAAAAAGGAAAATACGCAAGCCAAAGAACACAAAGGGGGAAAAAATACAGCAAAAAGGATAAAACACTGATTACTAGCATTCAAGAAGTTCAAGATTGATTTCAATCTGTTTTGTGTAATACAGAATACACTTAATACAGAAACTCTACACTAGTGAAAATCCCCTGAGCTCTGAATTGTAATACAAAGTCCCATTTGTTTTTTTTATTTTATTTTATTATTTTTGAGTGCGTGTACCGTCAAATCAGATCTGACTGGTACAGGAGGAGATTGTCCCTCCTTACCCGGCAGAGCATCTGGTGGATTCGAACCGTTCGCCTCTGGGATTGTAGTTGCTGCTCCTTGCCACTAGGCCACCAGAGCTCCCCCAAAGTCCCATTTGTAATACCCTAAATGAACAGTTATTATCTAGAGAGGTAAGTAGCTAGCAACTATACTCTCTTCAAGGATAAACCAGCGTGTGCAGAACAATGGACATCCTCTCAAATCCCAGAAAAGACAAAACTGTTACAACTAAGTTGGAAACAGCCTGAATACTACCTAGGCCATCATGAACACTGTGGAGTGAAGGCTTTGTTTTATTAAGATATAAACATTTCCCCCAGTAACAGAAAAAGTCCTAGAATCTTAGATTCCAAATAATGTCATGAGAATCATTACTGTCTTACAGAAATCCCTTGACTGTGTAGACAGCAAGGCAAATGTTAGTGGAATTGACCCTGCTGCCTTCCAGATCTGTGGATAAAGTGTACAAATAAAAACACTTCCTTTTGTTTATTTAGCCACGTGGTATCTTTTCAACCTGTACGCAGAACACATTATCCAAGAGGCTGGGCTCTATCTATGAGGAGAAGTGTGGC